TGGGGAATTCTGGGAGTTGAAGTCCACCCGTCTTAAAGTGGCCAAGGTTGAGAAACACTGCTCTATACAATCCTGCTTGTTCTATCTATTGAGGACAGAATTGCATGCACCCTAAACTATCCTAGATCCCCTAAACAAGTCTGCTGTCTCAGTTCTGATGGGGGACAGAATTCCTTTGCCAGTATTGATAGGAGATTCACCTGCCAATCTAGTTTGGAAGAGGTGCCATCATATACTTCGTCTCCCTCTCGAGCAAACTAAACAAAGGCAGATTTTCCAGCGTTATTTGCCAAAGCAATATATAGATCCAGCTTTTTTCAGGTTTCTCAAGTATAGCCAAAATACTGATTTGGTTCACAGATCATACTTAGCTTAGTAAATTGTTAGGTCTAAAGTATATCCTGCCATGGATTACAGTTTGGCAAGTTGTATGAATCCAACCATTGTAGCTAAGTCAACAAACAATGGCTAAAATAAATTATAGCTTATCACAATGTCTGAACCCAGAGACTGTGTTCTCTGGCAAACTAGTAGAAATCTAATAAAGAACCCCCCAATAATATGGCTCAGATTCAATACCACTCTCTTGCTTCTGTGAAATTTCTTCCATCTATGGAAAGTTTTTTTCTTGACTTGGTGAAAGTGCTGAATTTGAAAAATATCCCTCTAGCCTGATTTTTTTCTTTTTTCTTTTTGGCAGTCCTTTGGACTGTGAGTGGTTGCTCTCTTGCTTGCTTTTAATTTGCTAAGTAATTATTCAATTAAATTGTTTTAAAGACTGCATTTTTATAGTTTTAGTAAGCTGCCTTTAATTTCATACTATTCGTTTATAATTGATTTCATTATTTATTGTCAGTAACCAATCAGGTGAGGAGATAACATCCAAAGAAAAATATTACAGTAATGTGTTGCAAAAGACAAAACAAAAATTCCCCTGAAGCTTATAGAACATTACACTCTTCTGCTGTTGTCTATTTGCTTATATTTGTTGATGAACTACATTTTAAAACAGAAAAAATGTGTTGGCTGGGGAATCATGTATTATTGTAAGCATAATATGATTTGTTTGGTTTTGGTTGAGGACATGGGAGCCCAACATTAAGGTTTTTAAAAAATGGTTTATGGCTTAGCACGTTGTGCAAACACAGT